CCACGGGGAGCCCCTCAGAGCCTAGCTTCAGTGGGTTCCCCCTACAGCCTCAGGTTGGTCAACTCTGGAAGCAGGGTGTGGTTCGGAGCATGCCCCATGGCTTGGGAAAAGGTCGGGTTCCCGAATCTCGCAGCTCTTTTATCTACCCTCGCCCCTCCCGATAACCGGGCACCAAGGTTGTCCCCGGTCGTCCATCTCCCTCCAGCCGCAGCCTCCTAACAATAATCCGTCATCTTATCTCACTTGGTGTTCACGAAGCACTCTGCAGCCATTGTTAGAAGTTTTCCCTCTCATTTGCAAAGTGTTTTATAGCTATTATGAGGAGTCTTTCCTCCCACTGTGGGGCGATGCTGACCCACTTCCCAGTGGGTTCCCACCGCTGCTCACTGGGTGGACACGGCTCCACGCCCAGCACTGGGTGGTGAGAATGTCGCCAGCTCGAGCTGCGGCTGTGCCTTCACGTGGCCTGGCACGCTCTACGCAGCTCCTCTCCTGTGGAGGAGAAGGAAGTGGCTGTCATCAGTGCTCACATCAGACGCTGGTGCTGGTTTGGGGCTCAGAGCCTATCACCCCTTTCTAAACAGCCGGGTTTTGTTCTGGGACGGGGTCTCATTATGTTGAGACCCTCGTGCCTCAGCCTCCGGAGCAGCTGGGACTATAGGTGTGCGCCACTGTCCTCAGCGAGGCAGCAGGGTTTGAACTTTATTATCGCCATTCTTAGCTCAGGAGGGTGTAACAGAACTGTCTCCGAGGCAAGAGGGTAAAATTGCCCCCTCCCCTGTTGTGGACTGGCAGTTGCTTGGGGGCGACCAGATTTCTTGTTTTTATCTGATACTTAATTATTATTATTATTATTATTTTTTTCCTTCTGGTACCGGGAATCGAACTCACGACCTCGCGATTGCCAGGCAGGTGCTGTGCCGCTGAGCTAAATCTCCAGCCCCTATCTGATACTTCAAAAACAGGCAATTCTGCCCTTAGGGAGTGGTGTTTCTTAAGAAGAAAAGTCCACACAACTTAGCTGGTCAAACGAGAGCCTTCTTCCTGGTAGTTCTGGCTGCCTTAGGTGACACTTGATGTGATATGGTTCTGAATTTACCATTGCAGGAGAAGCATTTCCTCCCTGGTTACATTGCCTGTGTAGTTTTATTTATTTTTTATTTATTTTGATTTTATTTATTTATTTTTTTGAAACAGGGTGCACTCTGCAGTGCAGGCTGGCCCTGAACTCACTCCGCAGCTCATGCTGGCCTCAAACTCACAGTGATCCTCCTGCCTCAGCCTCCAGAGTGCTAGGATTATAGGTGTGTGCCATCACACCCAGTGCAGTGCCTTTGTCATAATCATTTAAAATGTTTATGTAACATTTCATCGAATTTGCTGCCTAGCAAGATTTTATGATAGAAAATATGGAAACATCTGCAGCGCTGGAGGTGGTTCTGGGGAGATGTGGGTCTGTGGGCCTGGGTGCTGCGGGGAGCCTGGCCTTCAGGCCCAGTCTGTCCACTTCCTGTGGCTGCTGTTTAACGCCTGGCCCTTCTCTCTGGTTGGGCTTCCATCCTCTTCGACTTCTACACTTCCACTCCCACACTGCAGCATCCCCCAGCAGTCCCCAGCTCAGCTCCGTCCAGAAGGGGTCAGGCGATCCTGTCACTCACCGATGTGCGGGTTCACCCGGCCCAGCGAGCCCTGAGCATTCCGAGGGGGGATCCCCACTTAGCTCCTGCGACGTCCATTGGCGTGCCTACATAGCACGTGTTCTGTAAGTACAGTATTTGTGGGTAACAAATACATATTTGCCAACCTCCAGGGACTTCGCCTGGACAGAAAGAGGTGCTTGTATGTGCAGCCCGTTCTTGGAGGCAAATCGCAGTGCTGGGCTCTTGAGGCAGCGGAAGTGAGTGTCCAGCAGAGGACACACAGCCTGGGCCTTTGACACGATTCCGTCCCCACCTGTAAAGCACTGTGTGTGGAGAGAAAAGGGAATCTCTCTGCAAAAAGCAGGGACTTCCTATGCAGATTTTTGACTATGGAGTTGAAATGAGCCAGAACTGGGAAAGAGCTGGCCTGCTTGTCTTTAAAAGGAGGAGCGCGAGTCCCTACCTGTTGGCAGTAGACGGAGGTAGTCCTGAGGCGCTGCTAGCAAGGCTGTGATTTTCTTCCGTAACGCAGCATAAAGTGGAAAGCGGGCAGAGACAGAGGCAAGAGTGGCCACAAACTGTTGTTTGTTTTATATTCTGCCTCTTTCTGAATATGTTTTTTTTCTTTTTTGTCATAAAGAAAAACAGAACAAAAGGCAGTGCGCTAGGGTTGAACTGATCTAAAAAGTCTTCCATCCCGAGGTATAATATGAGCCCAAGTACGAGTAAAAATTGGAAATTGGTTCAATTTTGGGGCTCTAGTGCCATCTAGTGCTTATGGCAAACCAGATGCCGACGTTGCCCGCACGTGCCCTCCCAGTGGGGTCGGCTCCATCTGTGTCCCTCCAACTCCTGGCCGTTCCAGTTCCCCATGGGAGGGTCTGGGGCGGAAGAGCAGGGCTTACAGGCCACAGGCAAGGGCTGCAGTGGGAGGTCATGCCTGTCACGGTGGTCCAGGTGAGAGAAGGCAAGTGACCTTGGCGGAGGGCCTCCGTGTGACCCAGGTGTGAAAATAAGCTCTCGTGTGACGTGTGACGGCTGTGCTCGGCTGCCTGGCTTGAGCAAACAGCCCCTCACACCTGCACACTGTTTACTCGCTTCGGACACCCAGCTCCCTGTTTGCAGGTGCAAGTGACTGTTTGTGTACCCAGGGGTAGGGAGGTCCCCATCCTCCTGTGGCCCACATTCCCTTAGAGCTGGGAGCTGGGAGCAGGGCCTCTGAACTAGCCAGCTGAGCGCTGAGCCCCAGCGCTGGGGCCAGGAGGGGGAGCGTGCTTCAAAACTTTGCCCCACACACGTGCCTGCCTGGCAAGCACAAGGTCCTGAGTTCAATTCCCAGTACCATAACCAAAACAAAACAAAACAAAACTCTGCCCCAAGACCAAGCTCCAACTCACTGCAGGAGAAGGGACTCTTGCTTCTGGGGACTGGCTGAGAACAATCTGCAGACCGAGGTGGCTGTGTTTAATCAGGTTAATGCAGGGAGCTTGCAGTCGAGACTTTGGGCAGTTCTGACCAGGCTTCACGTAGATCATAGGGAATGAGAAAGCAGCCCACGGGCACGTGAGGGATCTGTCCACCAAAACACTGTGGACGTGGAAGGGAAGGGACAGTAAGTGAGCAGAGGGGAATGACAGACGCTGGCAGCATTCTGCAGAACGCGGGGCAAATGCGCGCAGCTGACCAACGCCAGCGTGTCACTGTTTCTAACGTGTATCTTTATACCCAGCGATTCAGGGAAATAGCACTGACACAGCAGGTGGTGCAAATATATTAAAGTAGGAAAAATGAGTGAATGAAGTACTTTTTGCAAGGCAGTGTGAACATGTCAAGGACGTAATTAGCTGGGTGTAGTGGCACATGCCTGTCATTCCAGGCTAAAGCGGGAAGGCATTGAAAAGAAAGATTTGTGCTACTATTGTTTGGACAATTAAATGCCTATGTCTTCTACGCCAAGTAACTAAAGATAATGATGCAATGTATTATTGCATAATATATGCAATATGCAATGTATTAACCATTGTTACTCTCTTATTGTCTGTTTTGAAATTTTATTTTTTTCTTTTTAAAGGAAAAAAAAAATAGCAGGAAGGTCACAAGTTTGAGGCCAGCCTGAACAACTGGTAGACCCTGACTCAAAAAGGGCCCAAGTGTAGCTCGGTGGTAGAGTGCTTGCCTAGTATATGTGAGGCCCTGGGTTCAATCCCCAGTACCACAAACAAATGAATACATAAATAATATATAATCTAGCCCCTTTGACCTAGAAATTCTGCTTCTAGGAGACTGTCCTAAGGAATAATAAAAAATATATAGAATGAGCAGTATTTTCAAAACAAAAATCAGTAACTGGATAGATTAGTTATTGAGTGACAGTAGGTAAAAGCCCAGGGTCTGGGACTGTGATGTCACAAGTTTTGGGATGGGTGGGACACATGGCCTAGGGTGGCCTAGGTCCAATCCCCAGTACCACAGGAAACTTTTTTTCTAATGTAGGAAAATGCTTTGGTATTAAGGGAAAAAAAGACAGGCTCAAAATCACATAGTTAGGTTTGCATTTCTCTAAGGGCCAGTGATGTTGAGCAGCCTTTCGTGTATTTATTTTTTGTACACCTTCTGACAAATATGTGTTCATTCTGGTTGTCTACTTTTTGACTGGGGAGAAGTTCAGATGGTTCCCCAAATTACCTGTTCCATTGTTTAAAAATTTTTTAATATATATGCCAGTTTGTTCCATTTGTACTGCTAGTTTCTCTTAGTTCACTGAAAAGAAAGTTTTGTACCATTATCTGCTTGTTTCTTCTTTGTAAGAGACTCTAGTTGATGTCTTATACTCTAACTACTTTAAAGCTAGTGATGGTGTATTAACTATTATCATTCTCTTATTATTTTGCTACAAACATTTTTTTCATTAAATAAAAAAAGAAAAATTAGCCAGGCATGGTGGCACACGCCTGTAGTCCCAGCACTCAGGAGGCTGAGGCAGGAGAGTTGCTGTGAGTTCGAGGTCAGCCTGGGATATAAAGTGAGTTCAAGACCAGCCTGAACTGCATAGTGAGACCCCGTCTCAAAAAGACAAAAAAAGTAAAAACAAAAATTATACAGTTTGACCCCAGCTAGACAAACATGTTTGTAACACCTGAAGACTGGTCAAGGTGACTCGGGGCTGGGGCAGCCTCTGGGCTGTGACTCCATGACAAGCTCTGGACTGAAACCCAGATGCCCCTGCCCAGCCCAGGCAGCTGGCGACTCTTCTTGGGGGCCCTGCTGTGGCATCAGTGCCCAGCTGCTGAGCCAGAGGGATGTACCAGGCAGCCACGCAGAGGCAGTAATCCCGTGTCCTTTCTCCTCTCGCCCACCCAGTAGATATGTTCGATGACTTCTCCGAAGGCAGGGAGTGTGTCAACTGCGGGGCCATGTCCACGCCTCTGTGGAGGCGGGACGGGACGGGCCACTACCTGTGCAATGCCTGCGGCCTCTACCACAAGATGAACGGCATCAACCGGCCCCTCATCAAGCCCCAGCGCCGGCTGGTGAGCAGAGCCCGAGGCCCAGCGGCGGCCTGGAAGCCACCCTGTCCCTACTGCCCGCCCCCCGGGGTGGGAGGTGCTGGCGTGGGATCAGAAGACTCCCAGGTTTGGGTGAGGGGTCAGCAGGTGGGGCGGGAGCGAGGTGGTCATGCCACACCTTTAGGGTTACCTGAGCGCCAAGGCTGTGCCGCGCTCGGGTCCACCCGGGGCGCTGTGCAGAAGCAAGGCCGAGGCTCACGGAAGGGCTGTCCCGCCCACAGTCACAGACGGGCTCCGTGGGGAGCCAGACGGGCCTTCTGCTTCCCAGGCCCGGGGTCAGTTACTCGGCCCCACGAGGAAGGTCCGCCCAGGGGGCGTCTCCTTTTATCCGGTCAGTTACTGAAGCCCAAAGCCCAGGAAGGCTGCGCGGGGGGCACTGGGGTGCGAGCCCACACACAGCCCGAGTCTGCAGCCGCCTCGGGGGCACTGAGCGAGCAGTGGCCGCCTCCCCGAGACACAGAAGGGCCGTTTGCTGTATTGCAGTCCGCCTCCCGCCGAGTGGGCCTGTCCTGCGCCAACTGCCAGACGACCACCACCACGCTGTGGCGCCGCAACGCCGAGGGCGAGCCCGTGTGCAACGCCTGCGGCCTCTACATGAAGCTCCACGGGGTGAGTGGATGCCCACGCCACGCCCACCGCCCCGGCCCCGCCCCGGCCCCGCCCCATGCCCTGACCACGCCCAGGGCACCCAGCTCCAGGGCAGTCGCGCTGCTGTCGCTAAACCTCCCCATCTTCCCTACTTCCTTACTTCCGTCCCGTTTCAAGCAAATCTTAGTGATTTTGCTGGTCTCATATCTCACATTTGAATTCACACCTTGCTCATGAGGGGAATACATATTTAGTATATGGTAGCATGAGGTATAACCAAGGTGACATTTCGATTCCATGGATAAAATAACAGCTTAGGAATAAACGCATTGCTGAGTGAGGTGGTGCCCGCCTATAATCCCAGCACTCGGGAGGCAGAGGCAGGAGGATCATTGCGAGTTCGACACCAGCCTAGGCTACAAAGTGAGCTCAAGGCCAGCCTGAACTGCACTGCGAGACCTTGTCTCAAAAAGACAAACAAACAAAAAAGATCCTGTCTCAAAAACAAACAAAAAAATGTATTGACAGAATTGGCTATTCATCTGGAAAACAAGCAAACCATGACTTCCACAGCTTCCTTAAACAAAAGTAAATTTAGGTGATTTAAACACTTCTCCTAAAAAAATCTTTGAAATAAAATGAAAATGTAGACAATAAAATACCGCAATGGAAATGCCAGGCAGTAAAATACTACAGTGAAAATAGTAGACAGTAAAATACTACACTTGACCTTAGCCAAAAGGCCAAGAAGCAATATGAGACAGTAAAATAAACACAATAAAAATACAAGACAATAAAACTATGGAAATGTAAGAGCAAGTGTTTATATAACTGTGGGCATGGGAGAAGAACCTCTTAAGCAAATTTTAAAACTCATAAGCCATATGAGAAATGTTAGACATACTGAATTCAATGTTAGTGTATAGGAAATGGCTCCACAAGGAAGTAAAAATCCTTATATACCCACCAGAAGAAGGGCCAGTCTTTCCATAACACAGGGAGATCTGTAAAGCCCTTTAAGTTGTGGCTTGGCACAATCTCCGTTATAGAGCTGGTTTTTTAAGGGTAGCATGTAGACCACTGTACAGAGTGTGGCACCGTTTTTATAAGCGAAGAGGAAGAACATGATTCCTATGCCTCCGCTTATACATATGCAGAGTACCTCCGGAAGGCTGCAGAAGAGATTGTTGGCATGAAATGCCTCTAGGATAAGAAATGGGGGGTGGCTGAGGGCGCTCTCCATGCTAAGCACTTGCCCCACATGCTTGAGGCTCTGAATTGGATCCCTGATACCTCTAGAAAAAAAAGTTTTTGGAGCAAGGATTAGAGGGACCTTTTTGCACTCTGTAACTCCTTGTACATTTTAGATGGCCTCTATCATAGCTTACCTGTTCAAATGTAAGTTAAACTAAAAGCAAGAAAGCAAACTAAAAGCAGAAAGGTCCTGTGACCTCAGAAAATGACATTGATCTTCTCCCAGCTTCACCAAATGGGCAAAAGGTACAACTCACAGAAGCCACCAGCCAGCCGTGCAGCAGGTGCAGGTCTGCTGGCCCTCACTGGGAACCAGGGAAATGTAAAAGAAGACAGTTGTGAGAGGCCTTATTTTGCATTTCTCTTTGGCAAAAATTAAGATGAGTCATGATATCTAGCACCGGTGTGGATTTTGGGAATTGGATCCTTTCCCATACTATGATTAGCATGTTAACTACTGCATGTATTCTTCCAGGGAATTAATCTAGCCGAGTGTCAGGGTTAAAAACACACCTGCCTTTGGGCAGCAAAGGCAAAACTAGTCTCAAGCCAATCAGTGAACGACAGAAGTTCAGTAGTTCATTGCTGCGGTGTTTGTCCTGCCATAACCCAGAAACAATCTTAGATCCCTGTAAGAGATGGTCGAATGAGTTATGGCAGACCCCATAACGAGCAATATTGGGCAGAAGTTTTAAAATAATAATTTAAAGCAGTAGATGTTAACCTGGAACATGAAAAGGCAAATTGCAAAATAATATGTATAGCTTGACCCTCTGCTCTGGAGGCCTGGGGTGTAGTAAATGCACACATAGATAGAGATGGCTGGGCAGAGGATGAGTGGACACATGCGTACCTACATACATAGACATGTATGTGCACATGCATGCAAGAATTTTTAAAAATGTAAAAGACATAACAAACTGTTAAATCCACTTGCCCACTGGTGACAGGATTAATGGTAGGGGGTGGTAGGAATCATTAACTTAATCTCATGCATCTTTTATGATTTCTTATTACAATGATCAAAGTAGTTAAAGTATACTTATGAATATGCAGAAGAAAATACATTCATTTCTGCAAGGAAGTGTGTACAGGGATGTTTGTTGGTTCGCTGTAGTAATGAAAATGGAGGAAAAAACCTTTAGGAAGAAAATGGTCGTTCTAAAGAACTGTTGTTCTTTAACAGGGAAATACCAAAAGAAGCTTGCAGGCAATATTTTGCATGTTTAAAAAAGACTTGTGTTGGTCGAGCGTGGTGGCACGTGCCTATAATTGCAACACTTGGGAGGCTGAGGCAGGAGGATCACCTGAGTTTGAGGCCATCCTGGGCTATATAAGCAAGTTCAAAGCCTGCCTGAACTATACAGTGAGATCCTGCTTCAAAAAAGATCTATGTCCTCAAAAAGTCTGAAGTAGAATTACCATTACTAGAATTATCATCTAGCAATACCACTTCTGGGCCTACATAAAAAAATTCTTGGCTGGGTCTCAGGGATGTTTGCCTAGTCATTGTATTAGCTTCCTGTGACTAAAGTGAAACATCTGAGGCCATGGCTATGACAAAGGGAGAAGTTCCTCTAGCTCACGGTTTTGGAGGTCCAAGGGGAAGGTCAGGTGACCCTGCCGGTTTGGCCTCTGGTGAGGACAGCGCATGCTGGCAGGCATAGGGTCTGAAAGCTCACATCATGACCAGGAAGCAGAGCCTGGGGTCGGCAGTCCCCTTGGAGGTCACACCGCCCAGTGGTGACTGCCCCCGAGGGACAGGCCCTCCGATATGGGCCAGCTGGGCCAGCTCAAGCGCAGGAGTCCCCGTGGCCCTGGCTGCGCCCGGTACTGTCGGTGAGAAGACTTCTCAGCCAGGCCGTCTCCCAGCATCCTCATACTCTCCCCTCACTCACGTCCCCCACTAGCTCCTCCCAGCCTCTGTGCGGCAGCGCTGCTGTGAGCAGAGGGTCTCTGCATCTCCACCCTCCAGCGCCACTGCAAACCCTTCCCAGCAGCCTTCCCATTTGCACAAGGGCCTGGTGTGGCTGGAAAAGGCTTCTTCTGCACCTACTGTTCCTGCAGCCTAAAGTGCCTGGCCCTTGTCTGTGCGGCAGCCTCCTCCACGAAGCCTTCCTCGACAGCCTTGCACGGTCTCCTCCCCAAGTCAGGGCAGTGTTTACTGCTGCCTCTGTTTCCCTGTACCACCCAGCAGAGGCTGGTCCTTTGTATGTGTCCGACTTTCCCACAGAACTGAGCTCTGAGCGGGAAGGAACAGCGTCTTCCATTCGCTGCTTGCTTCACCAGGGTCTACTGAAGTACCCACCTTATAACAGGTGCCTGATTAGTTTGCCCGCTGAGCCGGGGACTGACCCCAGAGCTTCCTGCACGCTGGGCAGGTGCCGGGCCACCGTGAGCGAGCACCCGTCCTCTGGACATTTGCAGAGTAGCTCTGACTTCTGTCTCCGCGGGCGTCGCGCCCCGTGTAGCCCCTAGCTTTGCGGAGGGTCCCGTAGGCCCTCCTCGCAGGGCATGTACCTGTCTCGAGCTGCAGCGGATACAAACAAACGCAAAAGCACATCTGTTGACTTGTGACGCTCTAGGTCCCCAGGCCTCTTGCGATGCGAAAAGAGGGAATTCAAACCAGGAAACGGAAGCCCAAGAACCTGAATAAATCGAAGACACCAGCAGGTGAGCAGAAGAGCTGTGTGTGCTTGGGTGAACACGTCAGGCCCCGCAGGGGTAAGAGCCGTAACTTCACCCGTCCTCACTCCTGGGCACAGAGTAAATAGCTCCGTGAGAAAGTGACATCGCATGGGACCTCAAGGCCTAAAGGAGAGGGAGCCTGGCTTGCAGCAAACGTGCTCCTTTCAGTTCTCTTTGAAGAACAGGGGCCCGTGAATCAGGCTCCCCACAGATCCATCTGTAGCCAAGCAGTGCGTTGTACTTTACAGTACCAGGGATTGAACTCACAACCTTGCTCTTGCCAGGCAGGCACTTATGCCACTGAGCTATATCCTCAGCCTGCTTTGTACTTTAGAAATCTTTGTAAATGCTGGATCAGGGATCCTTAAAAGACCCCAGAGAAGTGGCGTGTTATGCTCGTCTTTCTAGTGAGCACACTGAGGCTCACAGACACTGCTGGTCTGACCAGAGCACACAGAAGTTCAAGGGCAGACCGGGTTTTTACACCCCAGGGTCAGTGGTGTGCTCAGTACATCTCTCTGCCTTCTTCCTTCCTAGATTAAGAAGAGGGTTATCGAGGTCCCCTCCCAGAGCATTCCCTGAGCTGTACCGCTGCCAGATTAAGGCACTAACTTGTAAAGAAAATAAATTGGCCGATTGATGGGAAGTTTATCTTCTAGTCCAACACATGTAGTCTCAGATTAATTGTCCATTTCCAGAACCAGGACGAGATCAAAGCTCTATTCCAGACTCCACAGTAGCTTGCTCTGTCTGGAAGGACGTTGACTACCAGGGTCTTCTTCCTCACCCCCAGGGCCTCCCCTTTCTTTCTGTGTCCCCGCTTCCTGTCAGTGCGGCTGGCTTCTAGGGTAGCCACCGTCCTCCCCGTAGCAGTCCCAGGCAGAGCAGGCATTTGTTCAGCCGCACAGTCCCCCACCCAACACCCCAAATCCAGGAAGCAAGCTTCAGCGGCAGAACCTATTCCAAACAGATACCAGGCCATTCGTAATCCCTGCTTACCCAAATAGTAGGCCCATCTTCTGCTGTGGATACACTGATGTTTTATTTTGTGGGAGGTTGTCTCAGATGGCTCCGCAGGTGCTCCTATATGCAGTATTTGCACTTTTTGAAATCTATAATGTTTTGAATCCTGAGACAGGTGGGCTCCAGGGATCAGAGCCTGGGGGGCTGTGAGCCTGTCCTTTGTGACAGCCCCCTTGGAATTCGGACCCTTCTGCCTGGTTTTGAGAGCTGTTGCCTGCACTGATAAAGACCCTGCTCTCCCCCGCAAATGTAAAGGAAGCCCTTAGCAGGGCCTGTCCTTGCTGTCTCCAAGGACACCTTCCCGGTGTCCCTGTCGTTGGGCTGGGTGTCCTGACTCTGCCTTGTCCCAGGTCCTTCGGGCAGCGAGAGCCTTCCTCCCACCAGCAGCGCTTCCAGCAACTCCAGCAATGCCGCCAGCAGCAGCAGTGAGGAGATGCGCCCCATCAAGACGGAGCCCGGCCTGTCCTCTCACTACGCGCACAGCAGCTCCATGTCCCAGGTGCGCCCGCAGGTGGGCGACGGGACAGCAGGGGGCTGCCAGCTCCCGGTAGCTGGGCATAGCCTCTGAGCTGCCTCAGCATGTCTGACTGGGACACTGGGGACACAACATTTAGCAGCTCCTCTGTGCCCTGAGGCCTTTGGGACAAAAGAGGAGGCCCGGGGGCTGGCACCCAGGCGGAGGGCAGGCTCACAGCACAGCCACACCCTGTGTCACATGTGGGTGCAGGCCCATCCACAGCAAGGGGTGGCTTGACCTTGGCCTTGAGGATTTCACAGGAGGCAGGGAAGAGGTCCCTGCCTCCTGCTGGCATGAGCTCCAGCTTGGAAATGCCGCGTGCAGGGTGATGATGAGGTGACAGGCAGGGTGCCGTTATCATACAGATGGCCGGAAGGGCCCCGTGTCCCTCTTGCAGATGATGTGGCGGCCCTGCTTCCCTCCCTCTTTGGGAATCAGGGTGTCACACTGTCCTTTTACTGGACGCAGCCCTGATGGCTTTCCATGCTGAATCAAGAGAGGCCATGTCCTAGTGAGCTTTTTATTGTCAGGGCGAACCTGGTTCCTTAGATCCGGGAGGGCCAGGCGCTCCCGGCCTGGGCAGGGAGAACGGCTCCTTGACAGCTGGGGAAGAGACTGTAGAAAGTGTCTCCTGTGACCATCGGAGCCTTTTGAGAAAGCATGACATTCACAAACGCACTGGGTCAGGGCCCGGTTCTGTCAGGCGCAGATCTTGGGGATTAGGGAACCAGAGAGAAGTGCCCGCTCCCTTGCCTGGGGCTGGACGCCTCCTGAGGATATCAGGAGGGCATGGTAGAGAGACCCCAAGCACCGCCCCAGCCTCATCCTGCTTTCTGCCTTTCAGACATTCGCGGTCAGTGCTGTGTCTGGCCACGGGCCCTCCATCCACCCGGTCCTGTCGGCCCTGAAGCTGTCCCCGCAAGGCTACACGTCACCTGTCAGCCAGTCGCCGCAGGCCAGCTCCAAGCAGGACTCTTGGAACAGCCTGGTCTTGGCTGACAGTCACGGGGACATAATCACTGCGTAATCCTCCCCGCTCCTCAAGTTCCTGCACGGACCTGGGACCTGGGGGTCCCCTGGGGTCACCCCTCTGTCTGGGAGTGACTCTGGAACAGCTGGGAAGAACTTGAAGTCAGTGATGGCTTGGGGAAGTTGAGGCTGGATTTCCCCAGGCGCCTTCCGGGGCGGGGACTGGAAGGAGACGCACCCTGACGCAGAGCACCGGGCCGAGGTGAAGACTCCTTTCCCACTTCCGCCCTGAGTGGCACAGGACGTCGTCCGCCCCTGCTTCCCTCCACTGTGGTCCCGGTAGTGGTTTCCTCACTGTGTCCCCAGCACCAGGGCTTGAGGGCAGATGTCGGGGCCAGTGCCTGGGACCCCCTGCGGCCAGCACAGGGCCTGTGCCAGAGGTGCATGGGATGCGACAGCCCCTCTGGCAGCCCCTGCCCTCGCCCAACACTCCCCTGAGGCACGAGCGTACCTGCACCCTCCGATACCAGATCCAGCTCCAGAAACCCTGGAGGCGAAGCTGATGTCCTGAGCACTTCCCGGGCCCATCGGCCACCGCGTGGGGTAGCACCATCCATTCGCTACTTGGCAGGGCCTCCCCTCGCCCTCCTCACCCCAGGACCTCTGACAGGAAAATCCCTGTGCAAACAAGAGCTCAGTGAGTGCTGGAACAGCACCTCAGGCCTGTCCCAGCTTCTCCGTTCACCCAGCACACACGGAGAGTCCTGAGGAGCAGCGAAACATCCTCCTGCTAAGGCAGCTTCAGCGGATGCTCATCTGTGCGCTGCCCTCCCTCTGGAGGGGCACCCGGTGGGCACCGTCCTGCTCTGAGGAGGACTCCTTCCTGCCTGTCCGCCTCTGAGCCTGCCAGGGCCACCGCGTCCCCCAGAGCCTGGGTTTGCGTGCTCGCGTTCGCAAGATCAGTTCAAAAAGCAAGCAAACAACAAAGCAGAACTCGTGGAAAGCGAGAGACCGATCTGAGAACACCCAGGGAGGGCGCCGAGGGAAGGCGTGTCCTGTGCCTACCCTGGGCGTGGCCTCGCGTCCCCTGCACTGGCCTCAGGCAGCCTTCCTCCTCCTCCTCCCCGTTACCCACAGAGCTGTAGCTGACTGTGGCATTACTTCATCCTTCCCTAAACGTCTGGCCCCACCCCGGAGCCTTACCGGCCGTCGCAGAGAATATCTTTGAAGCAAGATTCTGTTTTAATCATCATTTACACTGTTTTCTCCCTGAAGGCCTCCTTCCTGTACCTCCCTAACCCACAAACCTGTTAACATTGTCTTAAGGTGAAATGGCTGTAAAATCAGTATTTAACTAATAAATCTATCTGTATCCCTCTGCCCCTTCTGCTCCTCAGGTCTCTTCTGGGAGACCCAGTGAAGTCCTGCTCAGGGCGCTTGGGCACGGAGGGCTCCCCACTGCCCCACCCTCAGCCCGCCTCTAACCACTTTCCTCTCTTCCCTTCGGCGGGTGGCACTGCTGTAGGTGGTGGCCCCAGCGAGGATGGTGTCCCACCCTACTGCTAAGGGACACCTGGGACAAGTCACCTCTGGGTTTCGCTTTCAGGCCAGGGTTGACCCGCCTCTAACTGGGCTCCTTTATCTTCACCGTGTTAGGAGCCCGCTGATGCCGCCCTGTATGTGGGGGCATTTTTAGGGCTCCCATCCGGATGCTGAGGCTCCATTTACCTACAAGATGGCTGTTCTCTCCGGCCATTTTAAAATGTGTTGCGTAGGGGCCCCGTGAGCTCCTGCCACCTTCTGCCTCTCCTTTGTGGTCTGCTCCAAACAGACCCCTGAAAGGGCAAACTGCTCACCCCAGTGAGATGAGACAGGCTTGTCTCCTGTGCCCTTTTAGCCAGTGGGATCGCTTCCTTGGCTTGTCTTAAAAGTATGTGGGGGGAGGAGCAAGGGTCCTGAGGCCACCACCTGACTCAGCTCCCTGTGCTGGGATGGGCTAGCAGGCCGTCTCCTTTAGAACAGTCTGCCGCTCGCTTGGCTCTTGTCAAAGCCCCTGGGCCATCGGGGTCGTTTAATGTTTCATAGCACCATTTCCCAGGGATTAAAAAATTGCTTTCAACCTTCTCCTCTGTGAAATCAGAAAAGCCTTTAAACATGAAACTCACCTTCCGTCCGAAGGATGAGTGGTGGACAGCCAGGGTATCCAGTGACAGGTTCCAAACCAGAAGCTACAGGGGCTTGTCTTGGCTGTAGGAGGCACACGGCTCCGGAACCACACGGTTTCCGAGGGAGTCCTTGCTTGGGAACGTTTGTGCCACCTCCCTTCATGCTGGCTTTCAGGACAACACTGCTTACACCAGGAGCCCACTGACTCCTCCTGTGGTTGTAACTGGCACCTCGGCACAGTGGGGTCTCAGCTTCTGCTCGTCAGCCTTGGTTCTGCTCTGCACCAAATCCGTGCTGAAAGAAGGCTGAGCTGCCACCAGTGAGGGTTGTTCCCAAGCACGCGTGTTCCGGGCGGCCGGAGGACGGCTGGGGGAAGGAAGGAGTGAGGAGTGCAAACAGCCTCACTAGACCTAACAACCTATGGCAGGTGAGTGAAGCGGGCTGGTGGCGGGCCTGTGTCTGCGTAGGAAATCCTCAGGTCACCTGTGGTCACCTTGGACTGCAACAGGACCTGCTGAGAGAGAGATCTGATCATTTTACAGGGGGAGAACGCCTCATGACTAGAAAGCCTTGCAGAGGGATGGGCAGGAGATGATTTAGCTGTGTGTGTAGCTTGGGTTGACGGTGTGAGTTTATCGTCACTGAACTGGCAGCCCCCGGAACTTGACAGACCCAGTGCATGAGTCAGCTTTTCAGCAGCACTGTAACAAAGCACCCGAGAGAATTCATTTACAGCAAGAAAAGGTTTATTAGGTCTCACAGTTTTGGAGGGTCCAGTGTATGATCTAGTGGAGCCACGGTTTTGGGTGCCTGGTGACGGCCCAAGGTCCTGGGGCAGAGTGGGCTTCAGAGCACTGTGCTCACCTCATGGCCAGGAAGCTGAAGGGAAGAGACCGGGTCCCACAGGTCCCCTCAAGACCTCCCCCTGCCTTATGCTGGGCATGGTGGCACACCCCTGTAATCCCAGCACTCAGGAGGCTGAGGCAGGAGGATTGTTGCAAGTTTGAGACCAGCCTGGGCGACAAAGTGAGCTCAAGGATGGCCTGAACTGCATAGTGAGACCCTGTCTCAAAAAGACAAGAAAAACAAAAAAAGAGCTCCCCACAAAACCTGAAGACCCTCCAGAGGCTCCATCCACCAGCCACCTCCAACATCTTGGCCTTTGGGAAAACATTCAAAATCCACATGCACTGCCTGTGTACCCAGGGTGTGAGACAGACGTTTGAGTGGGGCTTTTGTTTGTAACTCTGTGACTGTGGGAATGGCACCCTTGCCTTGCTTGGAAGGCCGATTATTCGAAAATGAGTGAGAACAGAATAATCAAAGCCAAGATGACACCAGGGCCTCTCCACTGTCCCAAAGCTTGGTCTTTTCTTGCTGTGTCTCACCATCTCTGCCCTCTGGGAGATGTCTGAGACACAGGGGACCTTTACAGAGGGGCAACTTCGTACCGTGCCCGGTGCCAGCCAGGATGTGAAGGCATCGCAAGAAGCCCTTATGGGGAGGTCTTCCGGGGTTGCAGAAAGGGGGCTGTCTTGGTTACTTTTCAATTGTTGCTGAGACAAAATACCTGATGCCCAAAATTAAGGAAGGAAAGGTTTATTTAGCTTACAGTCTGTGGAGGTTTCAGTCCATACTTGGCTGGCTCCAAGACAGAGTGGCACATGGCAGAGGACAACAGTTCATGGCGGTGGAAAATAGCAAAACAGCAAGAGCAAAAGGGAGGAGCAACTGGCAAGCAGCCTCTTTCCCTCCCTATATTGTATGCAAACTACCTGCCCCAGGGCGGGTGTACCACTCACACCCATAATCCCAGCCCTGGACCATGGATCAATCATAAACTCTAGAAGCCCGCCCCATGAGTGCATGAGGCTCTGGGGGACTTCCAGACACAAACCGTAACAGGGGCACATGGTAGGGGAGGCCCCTTACCCACACGCCACTGGACTTCTAAGGGGCCCCAGCAGTTCGGCTGTTTTCAGCCCAGTCAGTCAGTCCTACTGCAGAATGAGCTGGGAAGCTGCCTAGCACTGAGGCAGCGAGTACAGACCGTGTCACGCGGGGCTCCACAGTCTCCGGCTGCCCAGCCTGCAGACCTGTGCCCCACTCCCCACGTCCTGGAGAGTCCACGCTGCCCAGTACTTTGGGTCTCCCGTGTCCTATGTCAAACACACAACAGCCACGTACACTGCACGCCTTTTTTACCAGTGCGTGGTACTGGTTCCTTGCACTGAGCTGCATCCCCCAAGCCCCTAACCCTTTTTTCCTTTCTTTTCTCTTCTTTTCTTCTTTTCTCTTTTTTGGCACAGATTCTCATTAAGTTGCTAAGTGGCCAAGGCTGAGCTTGAACTTGTGACCCTCCTGCCTCAGCCTCACAGAGTGCTGGTATTACAGGCATGCGCCCCCACACTGGGCTCTCGGTTTTCAAAAGAACAAAAGCCAAAAGCTGTCACAGGTCTGCTTTGCTAACAAGTACCAGAGGGTCATCACTAACCCGAGTTCCCACCCAAGGCGAAGGCACGGTCACTAAAGAGGCGGACACGTGGTGGCTCTTTACCGACGTACAAATGCCTGTGGATTCCCCATGGGTGAGCCTCCGGGTGCCTGCTCTACACACACTTGGGACAGATTCTGTGCCCACACCAATCTGGGCCACGGCTTCCTAAAATAACGGGGGAGGGGACAAACTGGGAATTCTGGAAGTGTCTCCCAGTCCATGTCTGACTCCCTGGGGCTCTGTGAGGTCTCCTGGAGCCTAAGCAGTGGTGAGAGCAGCATGAGCTTGTCCTTGTGTCCTCGTCATACGCAGGGAGCCCCGTTAGGTACCCGCCATACTGTGAGGGTGGTCAGGAGAGGGCAGAGGAATACCGTCCAGAGCCCCTGGGTGGGCCCTGGGAGTCGCAGTTCTCAGGAAGGTGGCTCACATCTCCCCCTGGTTCGTGTGCTCCTCCTGGTAAATCTGACACCTTGGGCCCTCCAGGTTGGTTTTTGGTTTTTTTTTTTTTTTTTGGTGGTTTTTTTTCTTTTTTGGTTTTTCTCCGGTACCGGGAATTGAACTCACAACCTTGCACTTGCCAGGCAGGCACTGTGCCGCTGAGCTAAATCCCCAGCCCCAGGGCCCTACAGGTTGGAAGCTCCTCTGGAGACTCGAGACGGACGCTCTCCATGTGCGGAGCAGCTTTAGTGGGACCTGGGTGGTGAGGTGAAAGGATGCTTCAGAGGTCACACAGCCAGCAGGCATTGTCCCCGCAAACAGCTGCGTAAAGATGGACCTGCCCATGTGGCAGCCGTCGGAAGGCACACGTTGGAGCCTGCTCAGGACTGCCTGCGAAAACCAGGCTTCTTAATTCCTAGCCACATGTGGTTTGGGGGCACTGAATGACACCACTCCACCAGTATCTGTCACCAGCCTTGATTCTAAATGCCTCCTGCAAGAGAAACTTTCCATCACTGAGAAAAGCCTGTGGGCCCTGATAAGCAACCCCCCGGAAAAGCCTGGCAGCAAGGTCTGAGGTCTCTGGTTGTGATGCCAAGGAGGACAGCACGCTGTGCCTGGGCTCAGCTGTCCCCCAATGTCCACCCTGTGACCGTGGCATCCTCTCTCCCTCCCCTGCTGCGCTGCCAGGTTGTGGGCATTGCGGGTTACCAGACAGAATAGCTTGCAGCTGGCCCCAGTGTTCACAGTGTTCGGGGTGAGCCTGGGCCCATGTCTCCTTTGTTTTTTCACTTGTGGGGGTTGCAGACTCCTCTGCACATTGCAGACATGGGGCCCGCCTCCCACGGGATGGTACGCATGGCCCGAAGCTTGCACGCCACCCCTCACATTAGGGTCTCATGAACTGGAAGCTTTGCCACATCCCCCCGGTTAAGAATCCTTGTCTAAGGCCCTGGGAACCCAGTGCCACAAGGCTGCGTTCCTCAAACTAAGATGCTCTGGTGCTCGGTGGGACAAGCAGGGCTAGCACAAACCTTCCTGTTTAGCTCAGAGGCCAAGCAATGAAACTTAGAGACGCTGGCAACATCACAGAGCTGCTCTTGGCTCCAGGGAGGACGTGCAGCCTAACTGAGCTGTCTGCATGGTGTGCAGGGACAGGTCTAGGGATTTCCGCTACTCCCTTCCTTCCAGGAAGGCGCAGGTTTGCTAAGCATCCGGGTTCCTAGTATCACTAAGGTCTCCTGCAGTTGGTTTGAGACAGTTTAATGACACAATGAAAACTGAATCTGCTAAGGAAAAGGAAACCCAGGTTAGGATAGCACCTCCGACTCATCTGCAGATCGGGGTGGGGGTCTTTGGGATCGTCTCTTGTCCCATCATGGCGCCCTTGCCAAAGCCACGGAGCTGCTGGGAGGGAGACCTCAGTGGCTAGAGAGAGCTACTAGTCCCCAGAGGAGGGCGAAGGACGCAGGCACGGCACTTGCAGTTGGCGCGCTCGCCGTGCGGGGGCGCCAGCGCCCTCCTCACCCTCTCCACCTCCCTCCTTGACAGCCTGCGTTTTCAAGTATCTGAGATCAGCCCCAAATGTTGGCAGTAAAAAGCTCCTGCCGCTTCCTGAGCACCACTGCCTGCCGGATACTGCTAGTAGCTCTCTCTAGCCACAGAAAGCATTTGGACGTCCTTACAATCACGTTTCTCTCATGAAGATACAGCTCGTGGATGGTAAGTCACTCGTGGAAGGTCACAGTGATACAGGGATGATATAAGGACCTCACGTAATATAAGGGAAATGTTACAGCTCTCAACCTGCTAGATGTCCCATAGGCTGAGTTCGTATTTTCCAAAATCAAAGAATGAATTTTAAGAAACAACAGAGGTTAAGAGTAGGAAATATTTATTGAGGGGGAGAGGTATGGCTCCTGAGAGAGAGGAGGGGGCCCGAGTGGACTGCAGAGGACTCCACTTCTCTAAGGAAGTTTTATAAAGCGAAATCATGGGAGGGGTATAAGGTAGGAAAAGGCTGTGGTCAACCAGTAAGATTGCAGGTGTAGTCACTTAGGCAACATTGATCCCACGTGGAAGCAAGTCATGCAGCGTGTGTGCATGGGAAGAACAGGGCCTTTCCTGGAAGGGACGGGTCAGGAGTTCCCGGCTCCTCACCCCAAGTGACCGATGCCTCTTGAGAGTATCAGTCATTATTGTTCATCCCTCAGTGAAGTATGTAGGTGTAGTCATTTTACCCTGAGTCCTGGCCTTCAACGAATGTGCCGCTAGCCACAGTTATAATATATTCTTATCTCCTGACTTCTACGATGGCCCAGCCCTGTCTGACTGCCAATAATATTTTTAACTAACTTAGCTGTCTATAATAACAGGTCCAGTATCTGCAAACCATATCTGACTCCAGAGCCTGAGCTTTCACACCCTGCCCCTGCCTCTCCAAAGCAGTGGAAATCTACAAGCTAGAGCCCTCTGCATGACCTCGGTCTAAGTACTTTATGGCTTATGTGTGTTTCCTAACTAGTATCTCCTTTAATCACTCTTTCAACAAATACACTGAGTGTCTACCACTGCCAAGCACTGTCCTCGAAGCCCTGGTCTCTGGCCCGAAGCATCACCTTCACCAGGAGTACATAGGAAGCCAAAATCTGAGCCCTGCTAGACAGCTGAGTCCAAGTCTGCACTTAAACATGGTTTCCAGGTGTTTCGTGTGCCCAGTAAAGTTCTAGGAGCGGGGCTTTGCGATATGTCTACAATACTATGAAACAGCCGTTGTAGCGACTGGCTTCAGAGACACTGGCTTGCTGTATTCCCACAGCTAATAATGATGCAATATGTATGACAAGCGTCTTGTGCCATAGCACAGTGTGATAAAAAATTATGGTGAATGTTAAGTAAATATTACAGTAAAAAACACATTGCCGTGAATCACACTCAGAATCCTTCGCCCCACTTCAAACACGCGTGTCCCATCGCTCTTGCCACTTTGTGACGCCGTTCTGGAAGTCCTTTTTTGTGTCTTTTTGTGGCTTCCTCAATGCCCTGAATTGATTCAAACGTCTATGGCAATGTCTGGCAAGTAAAAACATGAAATGTGTCTCCATCCACCTTACTCACCAGGCCCGGCTCTTCCCCAAAGTCCAGGTGCCCCTGAGAGGTCAACGTTCTGAGTGGACTCAGGACGTCGAGGCAGCCAAGGCCGTGCGGCTCCGAGGCGCGAAGACGACGGCCCGGGCTGCTTCAGTGTAGCAGAAGCCGTGGGACACTCGCGTCCCACGCGCAGTATCGAGGTGATTCACCATGCTGTGCCACGGGGGAGGAGCCCTCGCGCCCACCCTCCTCCAGCGCCCCTAACCGCCTCTCC